GGTATGTTAGCCATCATTTAGAACATGCTAAGCTGTGGTTTAGAAATAATTTGTGACAGGATTCTGTGTATATTTATGTAATTATATTTGTGGATTTGCAGATATTATGCATTGTCTCTAATTTTAAGGCATAAGAAAGAGGCTTCTCTAGCCAGTGATATTCCCAGAATTGGCAGCTTATCAGAATCATGTACAGCAGTTAGAGGTGAAATTCACAAACATAAAACTAACCATTAAAGTGAAAACAATTCAGGACATTTGATTCACAGTGTTGTGCATCTAACACCTCTATTTTTAAGGCATTTCTTCCATCACTCCAGTGTAAAACTCCTTACCAATTAAGCAGTTTCTCCATTCCCAGTTCCCCCATGTCTCTGACAGCCATCAATCAGCTTTCTGTCTTTATGTACTTATCTCTCCTGGATATTTCATATCAATGGAATCATACAATATGTGACCTTTTCTGTCTGGATTTCACTTAGCAATAATGTTTTGGAGGTTCATCCATGTTGTAGCATGTATCAATACTTCATTCCTCTTTGTGGCTGAATAGTATTCCATCATATGGATATATCACAGTTTATCCATTTATGAGCATTTGGTCTGTATCCACCTTTTGAATATGTGAATAGTGCTGCTGTAACCATGTATATACAAGTATTTGCTGAAGTACTTTTTTCACTTCTTTTGGTTGTATACCTAGGAGTGGAATTGCAAGAGTCAAATTGTAATTCTGTTTAACTTTTTGAGGAACTGCCTGTTTTGCAGCAGCAATATATGAGGGTTCCATTTTCACCAACAGTTATTTTCCATTTTTGTTTTAATTGTAGCTATCCTAAGGGGATAGGAAGTGATAACTTACTGTCATTTTGATTTGCATTTACCTAATAACTAATGATGTTGAGCATCCTTTCATGTGCTTACTGGCCATTTATAAATTTTCTTTGAAGTAATGTCTGTTCAAGTCCTTTGGCCATTTTTTAACTGATAGCTTTGCCTTTGAGTCATAGAAGTTCCTTTTATATTATAGACATTAAATTCTTAGCAGATATGATTTGCAGATATTTTATTCCATATTTATAGATTATTTTTTCACTTTCTTGATACTTTCCTTTGCACAAAAGTTTTTCATTTTGATGAAGTCTAATTTATTCTGGTTTTTTTTGTTTGTTTGTTGCTCATGCTTTTGGTGTCATACCTGAAAATCCATCGCCAAATCCAAGGTCGTGAAGATTTACCCCATTTTGTGCGGGGTTTGTTTTTTTTTTAAGAGTTCATGATTTTAGCTCTTAGATTCTTTTTCATTTTGAGTTAATTTTATGTATGGTATGAGAGCAGAGTTCAATTTTGTCCTTTTGTTTTTGGAAATCCAGTTGTCCCAACATCATTTGCTAAAGAGACTGTTCTTTCCCCCATTGAATGGACTATGGTAAGTCCATCTTGTCAAAAATCAATGGGCTGTGGATGTATGAGTCTGTTCATGGACTCTCATTTCTATTTCCTTGGTCCATGTGTCTGTCATTATACCAATTCTAAACTGTCCTGTTGACTAGCTTTATATAAAGTTTTGAAATCAGGAAGTAGAAATCCTTCGGCTTTATTATTCTTTTCCAAGATTGCTTTGGCTATTGTGGGTCCCTTAAGTTTCCATATAAATTTTAGGAACAATTTGTCAGTTTCTGAAAAAAGGAAAGCTAGGATTTTGATTGGGATTGCACTTAATCTATAGATCAAATTGGGAAATTTGCCAGTGTTAAATCTTCCTACCCATGAACACAGGCTGTTTTTCTATTTATTTAGGTCTTTAATTTCTTTGAGCAATGTTGTAGTTTTCTGTGTACAGGACTTTCATCTCCTTGGGTAGATTTACTCCTAGGTATTTTATTCTTTAGAGAGCATTGTTAAGTAGAATTGTTTAGTATGTTTTTTAGGTTATTCATTGCTAGTGAATCAAAAACTAATTTTGGAATATTTGTCTTGTATCATGCAGCTTTGCTGAATTTGTTAGCTCTAGTAGTGTTCTTGTGAATTCTTTGGAATTTTCCTTGACAGTTGCAAATGGAAATACATTTACTTCTTCCTTTTCAATTTGTACGCCTTTTTGTATTTCTTTTTTTTCTCTAAGTGCTCCGTCTAGAACTTCCAGGACAATGGTAAATAGCAGTGGTGAAAATGGGTACCATAGTCTTGATCCTGATCTTAGGAGGAAAGCTTTCACCATTGAGTATTATGTTAGCTGTGTTTTGTTTTGTTTTTAATAAATGCCCTTTGCAATTTTAAGATAGTTACCTTCTATTTGTAGTTTTCTGAGTGTTTCTACTATGAAAAATACTGAATCTTGTCAAATGCTTTGTATCAGTTGAGATGCCCATCGTTTAATGTCATTTCTAAGTACAAATCTGTCATTTCACAATACAATTTTACTTATATTAAACTCTGAACAAAGTATCATGCTCCTCTGGCCTCGGGCTGTATTTTTCATTCAAACTGGGCTCTTGACTGCTGTGGTAAGTAGGTAGTTATGCTGGGTCCCTCAGAGATGTCGACGTCCTAGTCCCTGGAACCTGTGATATGTTAGGTTACATGTTAAAGAGGAATTAAAGAGGAATTTAAGTTGCTTATGAGATGACCTTAAACTAGGATTCTTCTGGATTACCCAGGTAGGCCCAGTGTAACTACAAGGGTCCTTTAAAGTAGAAGAGGATAGGCGGAAAATGAGAGTGAGAAAGAGATGTGCCTTTGGAAGAAAAGCTCAGAGAAATCCAACATTGCTTGCTTTGAGGATTAGAGGAAGGGGGCCAA